CCACTGAGCAAAGCCCTGCTCCACCTAACAAGGGCCTTCACACTTTCAGCCCTAACCTTGCCTTCCAAACACGTCCCACCACTCCCACTTCATCTGTCTGCCTTCATGAAAGACAGAACAATGCTCTCCTTTCCTGGGTCTCACCACAGCCCCATCACTCTGGCTCCTTGAGTTTCCTCATCCTGTTCCCTCAACTCAGAATTCCCTTCCTGCCATCTTTCTGCTCTGAATCCTGCTTTCTTCAAGGCCTAGCTCAAATATTCCCTCATCTGTAAAACGTTTCCTGATCCACTCAGCTCAAGATAATCTCTACCTTGCCTCCACCTTTTCCTGTGCCTCTCCACTGACACTGTGGTATGTCCCATTTGACCAGATTCAGCTACACGCAAGGCAGAGGAGGCCTCCTCTCCCCTACTGAACTATAAGTGCTGAGGTCAAAATGCCTTTCTCAATTCTGTTAGTATCACACCTCAAAAATAGCAGGGACGCAGTAAACTTGGGATAGGTTCAAGAATGATGGAACACAGTGAGGTGTCTGAATGAGAGGGCTTTGCACACATAAGCGATATTTACAGGTAAGGAGTTGTGCTGTGATAAGGCATGGATTTGGGTTGGGAGCAGAGCATATGCCCAGAGAAAGAGCTAAGCCCGGGCACTCTATCCTACAACCATGGCCCTCCCAGCACCCCACTCCCTCGGCCGCCCGCCTTGTTCCAGCCAGGATGCACAAGGCCTAGCCCTGTCCTTAGCCCCGGGGGGCCAGGACAGAGAGTGGAAGCAGCTGTCCTCTTCCTGTGTCCATAGGCTGACTCTTCCCAGCCCACTATACCCAAGCAGGCACCAGAGGGCTAGCTGGATGCTAGCAGCTTCATCTGAACCCCCATCTGGGGGATAAGTGGGTAGAAGCACTGGCCAAGGAGTGGAGAGGCCTGAATTCCAGCTCTGGCCTGCCATGAACTCACTGTTTGATCTTTACTGTAATACCCAGATGTGAGACAAAACCAGCAGTTCCTAAACAGCAGTTCTACAGGCCACCACGCCAGGTGCCATTTTTTCTTTTTCTTTTTTTTTTTTTTTGAGACGGAGTTTCACTCTTGTTACCCAGGCTGGAGTGCAATGGCACGATCTCGGCTCACCGCAACCTCCGCCTCCTGGGTTCAGGCAATTCTCCTGCCTCAGCCTCCTGAGTAGCTGGGATTACAGGCACGCGCCACCATGCCCAGCTAATTTTTTGTATTTTTAGTAGAGACGGGGTTTCACCATGTTGACCAGGATGGTCTCAATCTCTTGACCTTGTGATCCACCCGCCTCGGCCTCCCAAAGTGCTAGGATTACAGGCTGGAGCCACCGTGCCCGGCCTTTTTTTTTTTTTTTTTTTTTTTGAGACAAGGTCTCATTCTGTCACCAAGGCTGGAGTGCAATGGTGCAATCACGACTCACTGCAGTCTTGACCTCCCAGGTTCATGTGATCCTCCCACCTCAGCCTCTCAAGTAGCTGGGACCACAGGCATGCACCCCTACACTCAGCTCATTTTATGTTTTTTGGTTTTTTTTTTTTTAAAGACACAGTCTCAATCAAGACCATCCTGGCCACACAGTGAAACTCCGTCTCTACTAAAATACAAAAATTAGCTGGGCGTGGTGGTGCGCGCCTGTAGTCCCAGCTACTCAGGAGGCTGAGGCGGGAGAATCGCTTATGTCCAGGAGTCGGAGGTTGCAGTGAGCTGAGATTATGCCACTGCACTCCAGCCTGGTGCCTGGCGACAAAGCAAGATTCTGTCTCAAAAAAAAAAAAAAAGAGAGAGAGAGGGTCTTACTATGTTTATGTTGTGCAGACTGGTCTCAAACTCTTAGCTTCAGGTGATCCTTCCACCTTGGCTTCCCAAAGTGCTGGGATTACAGGTGTGAGCCACTGTGTCTGGCCAAAGTATCACTTTTTTGAGAGATGTGTTCATTAGCACAGCCCAGTCTAGTGTGCTCCAGACTCACTGTGGGACCAGATGTCCCCTACGGGCTCACCTGGCCGCACCAAAGGAGGAGTGAGGGAACCAGTTGTGGGGACACGGCTCCAGGGACTGAAAAGGCTTCTGGGCTCTGTTCTCTCCCCAAGACCCCTGAGATTGCTACATTTTCTCAGCAGCCCTCCCACAGTGGATCCTAGCAGCTGGGCTTCTCTGTTGAGGAAACTGGAGCACTGGCCTCTTTCTAGAAATAACCAGCCTGGGGTGGGAGAGAAAGGGGCAGGGAAGGGGCTTCCTGACCATGACCCTGCACCCTTGTCTCACATGATGGGCGCTGAGCCGTGGGTGTTCACAGACGGGCAGCCCCAGCATGCACCAGCCACTCCCCATTGCGGTGGCTAGGTGAGGCCAGGGGAGATGGGCATCTGAAACTAGGGCTGGGCTGGACATGAAGGAAGGATGAAGGATAGACAGGAAACTCCAGATCCCCAATCTCCATATCAAGCAACAGGAAGGACAATAGGAAGCAAAGACGTCTTGAATTCTGCCTTAAGCAATAAACACCAATGGCTTAAACCCAAAGAAATGCTTTGTCAGCAGCCTCCCACTCTCCAGGGAGACCAAAAGCCTTTGCCCTGCAAACTAGGGAAATTCCCCCAGGACGGCCTTATCCACTGCACTCCTTCACCCCCTTTCACACTCACCCTACGGGCAGAGAGGGGCTGGGGAGTGTAGGCAGGTTGAGGAAAGGAGAGGACCCTGGCCCTGGATATGCCTGTCACTGACTCGCTGTCTAACCTCGGAGCAGTCTCGCCATTTCTCTGCTTCCTTCCCTTCCCTGGATGGTGGGCAGACTGATCGAACCACTGCTAGGGGTCTTTCCCACTGGTCTTAAGGAGGAGTAGCCCCAAGCCAGGACTCCCAAAGAGGAGGTCCCGGTGGGTACAAAGGCCTGTGGGCAGCAGGAGGAGAGGTGGAGACCAGGAAGGCCCCCACCTGGCTGCTCCTTCCCCGTCCTGGCATGGACACGGGTGACTAGTGGTTGGTGAGGCGGGGGCGCTCGTCTCCTCACTGGGAGCCAAGAAGAAGGGCTGCAGGCCCACCACCCCAGTCCAGAGCGGCACAAGAGCAACAAGGGGGAAGGCACAGAGGAGAAGCTCTGTGGGGTCCCTGCCCTAGGAAGCAGGTGAGTGTGGTGACGCAGAATATCTGCCGCCAACCAGCTGAGGAGCAAGCAAAATACGGAGGGAAGTTAGCAGACAGCGGGGCAGGTGAGGGAAGGAGGTCAGGAGCCAAGATGTGACCTTTGGGTGGCACGGTATTTACGAGAGTGGCACAGTTCTGGGGGGAATCACCCACTAGGATGGACTGTCATGATGGGGCGTGAGGAAGCTACCGTGTGGGTGAGAACCTGCTGGTGGATGCGGGAGAAAGCCTCTTCTGGAATATACAGTGCACAGTGGGGCAGAGTCCTGATAAAATCCCCACAGTGGATGAAACCCACAGCCCAAGCGCTGAGCAGGGACAGAGGGAAGCTTCTGCACTGGAGGTTGGGCCAGGGGCAGACGCACATGGTGGGACCCAGGAATGAAAGACGGCAGAGAGGGGACCTTTGCACAAGCACCTGCCTGCCTCATTTCTCCACGGCAAAAGGCCCCAGCGAGGCCTGAGAACATTCCAGATGGCCAGTTCCTTCAGTGGGAGTAAAGACAAAGGATGTCCCTGAAAGGCCAAAAATTCTTGGGGCCCAGTGTGTAGAAGCCGGGCAGCTGGGGCTGAACTGCAGCAGAGGAGGGGCCGCGAAAGGAGAGGGTGGCAGAGGCTTGGGGCTCCGGATCCAATTACGTGGTTGTTTCCATACTTAGCTGCCTGACAGCCGCCTGGAATACTCAGCACTCGAGCCGTTGCAGCCCCGCAGAGCCCAAATTAACTCAAGGACAGACAAGGGCAGGGCCCAGCAGCACATGCAGTGGCCGGAGCCCCCCACCTTACAGCTCCACTCCCTGAGGAATAGCTTTTGTTCCCACCGACCGCCTGTTCTCCTTGCTGGGACTGTGCCCTTGCAATCCCCTATTCAACCTCAAAGACCTGAGAGGCTGGATTCCAGGCCTCCACAGTCCCAGGTACAAACCTAGGCTCAAAGCCCGGCTGGGGGAAGACTGCCGAGTCATGAAAAGACATGGTGGGGAGTCCAGATCCTAGGGGGATCCCCAGAGCACCTCCCTACAAGCATCCCTGAGGAAAACCAGGCTTCAGGAACCTTAGGAACAAAAGACGTGGCAAAGATCTGGCATCCCCTTCACAGCCTATAGATAACCCCCATGCTGCAACCCAAGCCACCACCTCTGCTACCCAAAGTGCTGAGATGTCAAAGGGAAGCCCAGGCATGTAGAGCTGAGCCCCTTTTCTGATGGAAGCCCCCCACCACCAGCAGAGGCTCTACTCCAGAACAGGCCCGTTCCTCTTCTGAATTGCATCCAATTGTGTTTCCAGCCCTACCGCCAACTCTATTTCCGATCTTATCCCAAAACAACTCTATCTCACTGCTCCCAAAACAGTCCCCACCTTTGCCCACTGTGTCCCCCTCTATCCTCGATCACGCAAACCCAGGTTTCTTGCTGGAGTGGGGCCTCCGCCTTATCTCCTACCAGGTGGGAGAGTCACCTCAACGACCTCCAGCTCCCAGACTGTGCTATTTTGTCCGTCTCAGAGGCTCCCCAGTCTTAACTTTAGGGGCCCCTCTTTCCCACATCTACCGGCTGGACTCCTCTCTGACCCTGGCTCAGGCCTCAGCTGTTTGTTGTTCCTGCTTCCTCTGGACTCCCCAAGAGCCCCACAACGGCACTCCTCCTCTCCAGCACCCAGCTCTTTCTCCGAGGCCCCAGGATCAGGGAAAAGCGAAGGGTGAGAACAGTGACACCAGCCAGGAGCTAGGGTTTGCCGTCAGTCCTGACTCCCTACCCGACCCACAGTAGACAGAAAACCTTAGAGGAAGCATGAGGGTGCAGTCTGGGCTGGGTCATGCTGGGAGGGCCCTACCTGCTTGTCCTGAGAGCAGGAGCGAGGCCAGAAGGCAGCCGAGCAGGACCAGCGCCCTCATGGTGACTGCCAAGAGAGCCCAGCTGCTCCTCGCCTCTATTTATACAGCTGGCCCTGGCAGCAGCAGGCAGTGTAGGGGGAGAGGGGTCACACAGTCACTAGGGCAACTAGGAGGGCGTGATGGGGAAGAAGCCCAGACCCCAGCAGGCTGTGCGGAGGCTCAGCCTGTGCCGCCACTGTCCCAGCTGCCGGGCCTCAGAACACAGGGCCACGGCTGGATTCTCTCTCCCGAACCCCTGCAGCCCTGGGATCACATGATGTTGGTCACAGGGCAGCGGTGACGGGCATAAAATGGAGCATCCCTTGGGCTGAGGCCATGAAGTTAAGAATCTGAGTCTTCCCAGAACTTGCAATAACTCAACCCAAAGTCTGGGCAGGTTAAGGACCTTGACACACCTGCACTGGAAGAAGGAAGCTGTAAGGCAGCGCAGAAGAATCCTATTTGACGGTTACTGATCTAGACGCTAGAGTGCTCAGCAGCTGGGCACAGAGGCTCACACCTGTAATCCCAGCACTTAGGGAGGCCGAGGAGGGCGGAATACCTGAGGTCCAGAGTTTGAGACCAGCCTAATCAACATGGAGAAATCGTATCTCTACTAAGGATACAAAAAATTAGCTGGGCGTGCTGGTGCATGCCTGTAATCCCAGCTACTCGGGAGGCTGAGGCAGGAGAATTGCTTGAACCTGGGAGGTAGAGGTTGCAGTGGGCTAAGATCATGCCATTGCACTCCAGCCTGGGCAAGAAGAGCAAAACTTCATCTCAAAAAAAAAAAGAGAGAGAGTAGTCAGCTACGGCAAACCTGCAACACGTGACCGCTGAAGTCCAAGGCTACAGCTCTGAACAACATTCCAGCCTCTGGAAGACAGCGTGCAGACCAGAGGGAGAGGGGCACGCTGAGACACAGTTGAGGCTGCAGGGTAAGTTGGAGGATGGAGAAACAGATATCTATTTCCAATAACCCAGGGGTTCCAGAACATTCAGTCACCTCTGCAAACTGCTTTTTTTTTTTTTTTTTGATAGAGGATCTTGCTGTCACCCGGGCTGGAGTACAGGGGCACAATCATGGCTCACTGCACTTGACCTCCTTGGCTCAATCAATCCTCCCAACTCAGCCTCCCAAGTAGCTAGGACAATAGTGCCACCATGCTCTACTGATTTTTAAAAATTTTTTGTAGATGGCCCAGAGAGCCAGTTTTAAGAAGCCAAGGGAAAGCGGGCACTCGCTTGTCTGGTCAGGGGAATGGTGTCATTGTGAGGTGAAGAGGTAGAAGCTGGCCTTGGAGGAAAGGAACTAAAAGTAAATTAGGGCTGGGCACGGTGACTCAAGCCTGTAATCCCAGCACTTTGGGAGGCCGACGCAGGCACATCACCTGAGGTCAGGAGTTCAAGACCAGCCTGGCCAACATGGTGAAACCCCATCTCTACTAAAAACACAAAATTAGCCAGGCATGGTTGTGCGCACCTGTAGCCTCAGCTACCCAGGAGGCTGAGGCAGGAGAATTGCTGGAACCCAGGAGGCAGAGGTTGCAGTGAGCCGAGACCACACCACTGCACTCCAGCCTGGGCAACAAAGCGAGACTCTGTATCAAAAAAAAAAAAAAAAAGAAAAAGAAAAGAAAGAAATTACTTAGATAGTGAGGGTACAGAAGTCCTCAGTAAGTTTTCCTTTTAATGAAAAGCTGCCCAAAATCACTTTCCTTTCTAACAAAGAGCAGCCTGTAAAATCGAGCTACAGCCACAGATGCCAGCAGTTGTACCAATTATGTTCAAAATGGTGGGTCCATCTTTCCTTCTCTGCCAGCCACACATACAGTAAGGAGCAGACAAGAGGGTGACAGCCAAGGGGAAAGTTTATTTGCATAATAAAATTAGAGTGGGGAGGCCAGCCTTCCCTTCGTGCTATGTAAATGTAATGCCTGATGGAACCAATCTGTGAGTCCTCTGTTAATCAGACACCGCCTCTTCAAGCCTGGCTATAAAACCCAGTGCACGCGCTGCCACCGGCCTTTTCCTTGGAAGTCCCCTCTCTCACTGGAGAGAGCTGTTTCCCTCTCTTTCTTTTGCCTATTAACCCTCTACTCCTAAAAAAATTAAAATTTAAGGCTGGGCGCAGTGGCTCAAGCCTGTAATCCCAGCACTTTGGGAGGCCGAGGCGGGTGGATCACAAGGTCAAGAGATCGAGACCATCCTGGTCAACATGGTGAAACCCCGTCTCTACTAAAAATACAAAAAATTAGCTGGGCATGGTGGCGCGTGCCTGTAATTCCAGCTACTCAGGAGGCTGAGGCAGGAGAATTGCCTGAACCCAGGAGGCGGAGGTTGCGGTGAGCCGAGATCGTGCCATTGCACTCCAGCCTGGGTAACAAAAGTGAAACTCTGTCTCAAAATAAAATAAAATAAAATAAAATTTAAAAAATAAAAATAAAAATGAGGTCTCACTGTGTTCCCCAGGCTCCTCTCAACCTCCCGAGCCCAAGTAATCCTCGCACCTCAGCCTCCTGAGTAGCTGGGACTACGGGCATGCGCCACCGTGCCCAGCTCAGCTCAGCTCAGCCTTCAGACAGAAGCTGCCAGAGCCCTCAGCCTGAGTCCCCAGCCCCATTTTCAGAAGCTGTGCATTCCTAGGCACACCTGCTTCTGACTGTCTCAGGCTAATATTCCTCAGATGACCAGGGAGGACATGTGTCTGAGAACAAGACGTGGGGCAGGAGAAAAATCATGTAGCCCCGCTCCTCCTTTCCAATGGTCCCACTTCCAATGCCCTAGAGCCAGGGTCGGGTGACTGCTTCTGTAAGGAGCCAGGTGGTAAATAGTTTAGGTCCTGTTGGCCATCTGCAACTCCGACACCGTGCCTGTGTAGCTGGAGCAGCTGGCGCATACAGATGAATAGATGTAGATGCATCCTGATAAAACTTTATTATGAAAAAGAGGCAGCAGGCTGGTTCTAGGCTGTAGCTTGCAGATTCCTGCTCATACTCTAGAGAAATTGTTTGGTGAAAAACCCTTTGGTAAAGGATCACCCGTATCAGTGCTTTATGAATCTGGGTTTTCCTACATCTAGCTGCTTCACATGGGGGTTAAGAGCTGGAAAGGGGAAGGTGGTGTGATATCTTGAGGCCAGGGATGACAGGTGTGTGACGGGGCTGTTGTGGATTTGAGCCTGGGAACAATATGCTCAAGGGAGACATAACGTGAGACGTTTATTTTATTTATTTATTTATTTATTTATTTTTTTGAGACGGAGTTTCGCTCTTGTTACCCAGGCTGGAGTGCAATGGCGCAATCTCGGCTCACCGCAACCTCCGCCTCCTGGGTTCAGGCAATTCTCCTGCCTCAGCCTCCCGAGTAGCTGGGATTACAGGCACGCGCCACCAGGCCCAGCTAATTTTTTGTATTTTTAGTAGAGACGGGGTTTCACCATGTTGACCAGGATGGTCTCGATCTCTTGACCTCATGATCCACCCGCCTCGGCCTCCCAAAGTGCTGGGATTACAGGCTTGAGCCACCGCGCCCGGCACTATTTTTTTGAGACAAGGTCTCATTCTGTCACACAGGTTGGAGTGCAGCGGCACAATCACAGCTCACTGCAGCCTCAACCTCCTAGGCTCAGGCAATCCTCCTACCTCAGCCTCTAAGCAGCTGGGATTACTACACCTGGCTATTTTTTCTTTTTGTAGCAACATGATCTAGCTGCATTGCCGAGCCTGGTCTAAAACAATCCTCCTGCCTTGGCGTTAAAGTGCCAGAATTACAGGCGTGAGCCACCGTGCCTGAGAAAAAGAGTTTCTCAGGGGAAACAAGCAGGTTCGACCCTGGAAAACTTTCTACGATCAAGTAAGAAAAGGTCCCAAGGCCGGGTGCGGTGGCTCAAGCCTGTAATCCCAGCACTTTGGGAGGCCGAGGCGGGTGGATCATGAGGTCAAGAGATCGAGACCATCCTGGTCAACATGGTGAAACCCCGTCTCTACTAAAAATACTAAAAAAAAATTAGCTGGGCATGGTGGCGTGTGCCTGTAATCCCAGCTACTCAGGAGGCTGAGGCAGGAGAATTGCCTGAACCCAGGAGGCGGAGGTTGCGGTGAGCCGAGATCGCGCCATTGCACTCCAGCCTGGGCAGCAAGAGCGAAACTCCGTCTCAAAAAAAAAAAAAAAAAAGAAGAGGTCCCAGAAGTGGCAAGTGAACGTCACAGTCACAAATGTATATTTGGAAGACCTGACAGCCAGGTCTCACCTGCTCAAATGATGCCACAAGAAGGAATTACCAGGCTTGTCCTGTGTGGTTCCTGAGGGCAAGGCCAGGTTTGATGGGCGAGGACAACGGGAGACCCATTTTAGCTCAAGGTAAAGGAGCCTGTTCAGGTGAAGCTGCCCAGCAGAGGAACAGGTTTGCTGATAAAGGAGTGAGTGTTCTGTCCCTGCATGGGTTCCAGCAGAGGCCAGGCATGCAGGGAAGGGCGCTGCCCAAGCTCTTCCTCCCTGCTTGCGCAGAAAGTCTGAGTCTAGGGAAGACTCTGGGGCTGGTGCCTCCTAGAGGCCCTCCCGCCTCTGTCCCTACATTGTTTCCTCCAGAGGTCCCGCCTCACTGGTTTCTGCAGGAGGCATTTACCTGCCTCAAGCCTGGCCTGTGTCCTTGTCTTAGGACTGTGGGCTGTCTCTAGGATGGTGAGGGATTTATCCAGCAAGCAGTGTCCTTGAGAAGAGGTTGTATCTGCCAGTGGGGACCTGGGTGGGTAGGGACTCTTGGGAAGCCAGGGGCTGTGAAGGAAAGGAGGGCTTTTGCATACTGCATCCAAGCCACTTCAGCAAGGGCCTTGGGGAAGGGTCTAGGACAGGCATCCCCACACTTTTTACACAGGGGGCCAGTTCACTGTCCTTCAGACCGTTGGAGGGCCGCCACATACTGTGCTTCTCTCACTGACCACCAATGAAAGAGGTGCCCCTTCCTGAAGTGCGGCAGGGGGCCGGATAAATGGCCTTAGGGGGCCGCATGCGGCCCACAGGCCGTAGTTTCGGGACGCCTGGTCTAGGATTATAGGCACACGCCACCATGTCCGACTAATTTTTGTATTTTTAGTAGAGACAGGATTTCCCCACATTGGCCAAGCTGGTCTTGAACTCCTGAACTTAGGTGATCCACCCGCCTCAGCCTCCAAAGTGCTTGGATTACAAGCGTGAGCCA